TACGACATCAAAAATGTTATGGGGGCTTCCTAGGTGGCTCAGTGGTTAAAGAATCTGCTTACCAATGCAGGAGATATAGAAAATGCAGGTTTGATCCCTGGGTTGGGAAAATGCCCTGAGGGAGGGCATGGCAACCCTCTCCAGTATTCTTCCCTGGAGAATCCCATGGATAGAGGAGTCTGGTGGGCTACAGTCCACAGGGTGGCAAAGAGTTGGATGTGACTGAAGCAACTGAGCATGCATTCGTGGACACACAAAAATGTTACAACTTTAAAATGTAATCAATATAAATATTTATGAGTGAGACATTTTACATTCTTTGAGGGGGGAGGTACTAAGTCTTTGAAATCTGAATGTATTTGGCACTTATAGCACATCTCAGTTCAAACCAACTACATTTCAAGGGTTCAGTGGCCGCCTGCGGCCAGTGGCTAACAACCTGGACGGTGGCTGAAATCACGAGAACGGAGCTTGCAGGTGGGAGCTTCTCTTGCCACTGACCGACCGCTGCCCTGCTCAGGTCAGGGCAGCCTGAGGCGGAAGTCTGGAGGAGATGAAATTAGCCCTGAGGTCCTGCCGCAGCTTCCCTCCCACCTGGCATCATTGCTCCCACATGGTTTCGTGGGTGCGTGCTAAGTTGCTTCAGTCACGTTCAACTCTGTGTACAGACCTTATTGGGTCGAGCTGCCAGGCTCCTCTGTCCGTGGGATTCTCCAGGCAAGAATACTGGAGTGCATTGCTGTGCTGTCCTCCAGGGGATCTTCCTGACCCAGGAATCAAACCCGCATTTTTCATGGCCACTTGCATTGGCCCAGGCGGGTTCTTTACCACCAGCACCACCCTGGTTGGGTTCACCCAATTCTGGCCCAGGTGAAGGCTTTATCTAAGTCCCTCCCAGACTCTCTCACCTCATGGAATTCTATGCAGTTTCTTCCCTTTTGGGCAAAGCACTGCTCACAGGAGGTTGCTCTGATGAGCTACCTGTGCCAAAACGTGAATGCATACTGGGGGGACAGGGCTACCCCACTGTCAGGTCAGGAGTGGGGGTTTAGCACGGGGCTTGGACAGGAAGGCAGCTGAGTCAAGGCTCTTCTCAGTTGTGAGAGTCCACTCAAGGGAGATGCACATAAATGGGTGTTATTCTCAGGTCCTGGGGTAACCCAGGGGGACCAGGGGCTGGAGGTGTCGTCAGGGCCCCGTGAGCGACTGAAACTGGAGAAACACGATCGGCACGAGGGCAGTTCAGTGTCTCTCTCTCGCTCGCCTTCTCTGCGCCGCTGCTTCATTCCTCTCCTTCTGGGACTAAGACTCTCAGTGAACTTGGTCATCTCACGGTTCTGAGGTTGGTTTGTCCTCAGTTCAAGCCACAGCAAACTGACAAATGTCTCTGCATCTTAAATCTACATTCCCAGGAGAGAGAACACGGTTGGCCCAGCTTGGGTCGGGTGTGTACCCTGGTCCAGTCACCAGGATGGGGGTGGGAAGGCTGAGGGTGGAAGGTCACTGTAGCTCCAGCTTGAATGGAGCGGCCTCTCCCGTGAATGGGGGGAGCCAGAATACACTTCTCAGGGAAGGGAGGTTGTGGGCTGAGCAAATACTTCAAAGGGTGGGGTTTCGCTGTTGATGTTTGTTTTTAATGGAGATGTGGGTTTTCTACCTGTTTGATGTAGAGCAATATAAAAATCCCAGAGAACAAATAAAATTGAAAGTATCATTTAGTAGGTACAAATTTTGAATCTGCCATTTAATAATCTTGTTTCTTTTAATTTACTCATTAAACACATATAAAACACTTTCGACATGTCAAATATTGTATCGTACAAACACTAAGTGCTTTACAGATTTTAACATCTTTAATGTTTGCAATGATTCTATGAGACAGGTATTATAATTATCCCCATTTTACAGATGAGGAAATGGAGGCATAGAAAGATGAACTTGCTCCAGGTCACACAGTGAGTTAAGTGATAGCGCTGGAATTCCAGCCCAGGCCATCTGGCTCAATTATTCCTGGCTGAAATCTTTTGTTACGCTGACCTTGGGTGAGTTATTTAACTTCTCTGGCCCTTGGTTTCCACACTTGCAAAATGGGTTTGATGATATCTGCCTCCTCAATTGTGGTGAGGATTAAAATGGATGGTACATGTCAAGCCCTGTGCTCCCACTAGTCAGGGCTCTCCAGAGAAAGAGGCCATTGAGATATATGTGTGTGTGTGTGTGGGGGTGGTGGGTGGGCTTGGGGACCCCCAACACAGTCACTTAGCTGAGAGTTCCATGGTAGGGGGCGATGGTGGAGAGGTAGCTTTTAGGCAAGTGAACAGCAGAAAGCTCATAATGAAAGGGCTGTAAATGGGCCTTGGCGTGCCCAACAGGTGGGGAACTTGGAAGGTCTCTTATTGCACCTCAGAGGGTTTATGTGTCTGCCTCATTTCTCCACTCAAACCATAAAACTCTGCTGGGCCGGTCCCCTTTCTGCCACTTTATCCCCCCAGCGCCTAGCCAGGGCTCTGTGATGTGGATGGTACCCTGCCCAGACCCCCTTTAGCTGGGAGTCTGCCTACTGTCCCATGGCTGTGGGTTTGACCACTGAGTGGCTCACAGCTGCTCCTAGAACTTCTTTTGGTGAGTAGGTCCTGCCCCTCACCACCAACCCCCACAGCCTGCAACCAAAGACTGGCTGAGATGAAGTCACAAAAGGCTGTCCTCTCCTCTTCAAGGTGGGGCCAATTCCACGGCGCAATCTGTGTTGCAGAGCTCTCCGTGGGGTCAGGCTGAAGCTAGTTTCGAGCCTGGACTGTGTACTTGCTGAGTACTTGTCCCCAGCTCTCCTCTGTGTCCCATACCCTCTGTCATCTTCAGGTATCTCCTCCATCAATCACTTGCTCAGGAATCCCCATCTTAAGATTCCCGAGAATGAAGCCAGGACAGCAGTGACCAAACTCTGACGGCCACTGGGACCCCCACAACCATCTTTTGACGCATCTCTGCACAGCTCGTGGTGTCTTTGTGTCTGCAAAGGAATCTCTCAAGTCATATAAAGCTCTATCTTAGTACTGAGCCCATGAATTAAAGTGGAGAAGATGTTAAGTCTTGCTTTGGTCCAGAGTTCTGGAAGACAGGATGGAACAATAGTTGAATACGCAGTTTGGCTCTCAGACACAAACTTGTCATTCACAAGTTTGTTTTCTCCCACAGCAGAGCTTGTTTTCGACAAGCTTGTCTACTAAGCTTGATGGAAGGGACTGGGGTGGGGTAGGTGCTCCAAGGGCCAATCTGATCCCATGGTAAGCACCTTGAGACTGATCATCACTCTAATGCTATGAGTAGAGACAAAGCCAATCACTATTCATGAAATGAATGACCCAGAATATAGCTGTGGGGTAGGTGCTCCAAGGGCCAATATGATCCCATGGTAAGCACCTTGAGACTGATCATCACTCTAATGCTATGAGTAGAGACAAAGCCAATCACTATTCATGAAATGAATGACCCAGAATATAGCTGAGGTGCCCAGCCAAAGCACTGTACAGAGGAGACTGGACCTGCAGGTTCAGTTGTCTGGTGGACTGGGCGCTGTTTCCTGACCACGATTATTCTCAGAACCCTGCCATATTGTCATTCCCGTGGGAATTAGCCACTGGGTGCCAAAAAGTGTCAACGCGTAAAGAGTGTTAACATACCTGTTAGTCAAGAACGTGCAGAGCAACAAAGAGACATCAGCGGAAACTAAGGAACTTGAACTCTGAATGTCTGGAAGGGTTTTTCATGATCTTCGTGAAGTTCTTAGTGTAAAAAGCAAAAGTCACGTCTCAAGGGTCAAAGTGGCCCTACGCACAGCTCTTGCAGGTACACCACAGGTCCTGCCAGTAGGGTCTGACACAAAGGCCCCCATCGGTTTGACACTGAAACTTCTCAACAGTGACAGGGACGACTGATCCCAGAGTTGGATTAGCGGGACTCGTGGCAGGGACACAGATGCTGGGCTTGGGTTGTTTAGGAGGTTGAAATGAAAAGCCATGGGTAGCTTAGGTAGCAGTCACCTTAGTACCTCCAGCCTTTCACCTCTGTGTACTGGAGTTTTACCTGCAGCTTCCTGCCCTGTGACCGGTTTTAATTCTTGTAGGCAGTCAAGAGGGGATAGGAGGGGTTGAGAAACCCGGAGTGTATTGCCAACACTAACAGGGGTTCTGAACCCTCTTTGCGTTAAATCCTACTGCTGACACCTGCGAGTGTTGGTGCTTTGCCGAGATCTACTTGGTCCTCGTCTTTCTGCACTTGCCACTTCAACTTTCACCTGCCAGCACCTGTGTCCTTGTGCCTGTGGCCTTTCTGTGGCCACTGGAACCCGTTCTGCTGCAGTGCAGGCCAGGCCAGAGGTGCTGGGAGGTAACGGCCCAAGAATGTGGTCATCCTCCAAGGGTAGGCAGGGTGGCGAGGTGGACGTTCCTCTCTAACGGAGCGCCCCGCCGGGATCAAGCTGCTTTGCCCACAGTGGTGGCATCACCCTTGTCGGCTTCCTTCCCCTCCCTGTCACCTCCCCATCACTTATCTCTGTCTCTTGGGGTCATTTCTCCCGCCCCTTAATTACTTGCACTTGACTCTTTGTCTCTGAGTTTGCTTTTGAAGGAAACTAAGCTAGTGCTTCATCTGACTGTCCTCACTGATAGAGCTCCAAGCTAGGAAGAAGCTGTGGGACCAAGAACCAACCTCGGTCAGAAGATTTAGAGTTGACTTCAGGAGATGGTTTGAAATATACAAGATGGACACTGGGCCTGACCCCGGTGATTGCGGAATGTCTTCCCTTTTTACTTGCGGAATGTCTTCCCTTTTTTACCAATCTCTGTAGATTCTCTCCTCACCTCCCCTTCAACTTGCAACCCCTCAAAACACCTTGCCTTCATAGGTCCAGGGAGAATCCAGCCACATTCCGATGATGCAATTGCTGTTAAAGACAGCAGATAACATGTAAATGAATGAGAGTGAGTAAACAAACAAATGAATCTATGTTCCAATAAAACTTTATTTGGCCCATCCCGATCAAGTTTAATAATGTTTAATAGATATTTTTAAAACATGAGTAATAGCAATTCCTCTGTAATAACAATTATATATGAACTCCTTGTCAAGATCAGCAGCTTGTTCCTTTACCAAAAAAGTAAAGCTGCCCTCTGAGGACAAATGGCACATGAGAGCGGTGTACGTTTCCTTTTCTTAAAAAAAAAAAACAACAACAAAGAAACCCCAACACTTCATATTTACATATTTCCCAGGTAAAAATTGGTCACTATGGTTAATTGTTTTTAAATATAAGTTTCTAACGTGTTGCAGGTTTCAAGGTACATATCCTAGTTAGCTGATTAGATTTAAGGTGCTGTTGAGGTGAGGGTGAACGCAGCCTACGATCAACACTGGGGGATCCTCTGTTTACAGACCGGCTCCTATGGGCATCTCTGGGGGGAGCTGAACGCCAGTGGTGGAAACGGAAGAGCGTTTGCCGAGGACCGGGCTCCATGCCTCTGCAGAGGGCCTGCCATGCTACACGCTGTCCCCTGAGGCTCTGTGAACGAGTGCACCCCTGGCGTGGCATGCCCCAAATTCATCCTGGTCTAAGCTAGGGAGGACATGGTGGTCTCCAGTCCTTTCTTTTGCCGTGGGGTCCCCATGCTGGTACCTGACCCCTGAGGGCCCTGAATGTCGGCACCCCACTTTGCAGACCTTCCTGCCTTTCTGGATTCCTTGTCCCCAAGTGCAATTCTTCATGGCCTGATGTTTGCTGGGGCTAAATGGATGGTCAAAGTCAAGGGCAGAATTAACGAAGGTCGATGGGTCCTGTGTGAGAGCCGCTCTTCCAGCATATCCACTCGGTTGCAGGCACTTCACTGCTTTCCTCCAAAGGGGCAATTTGGGCTGAGAGCAGAAGCTCCCAAGGTAGGTTTGGAGCGGGGCTGTGTGTACGAGGGGTGCGGGGCAGGCTGCAGGGATTCTTGGAATTGCCGTCTTCAGACTCACCAGTGTATGGCATTCCCTGGGGAACAAGAGCTGTGTCACTGTGTCTGCGCGTGTGTCAGCAAAGTGCATAGAAAGTTCTGGAAAAGCTGTGTGCACAGGCCTGGGAGGATGGGTGGTTTTACCCACAGATCCCGAACTGGTCTGATCTGAAACCGAGAGTTCAGATCACACCGGGGTGAGGCAAATGGGAATACTCAGTACTTGAGGAGCTAGGGGGAAAAAAAAACACTTGGTGACAAGGGGAAAGAAGCTGGCTCAATGTCCAGTTTCAGAATTCACAGGACACGGCTTTGAGTAAAAGCACACGGAATGGGTAAGCTGGCAATGGACAGGGAAGAAACGTCTTGAACCAAGTTTTCTGAGAAAAAGGCCAGTGTGACCCCAGTAGAGGAAGACGTTGTTTAGTGGACAGACACTGGCCTGGGGGCCAGGAGACTGGGATTCAAGGCTTGCCCTGACACAGACTAGGCCCCGATCTTACTAGCAGGTCACTTGGCTTCTCTGGACCTCATTGTGTTTCTCATCTGTCAGCTGAGGATGTTGGACCAGAGAGTGCCAACCCTCTCTGCCAGGTTCCTCTCCACGTAGCCACCCAGGTGGGGCCTCTGACTGCTAAGACCTTTCTGCCCTGCGCACCACCACTGATAAAAACACAAGGGCCTCTTCTTTGCTGGGTAAGTGATCAACCCCCTCTGAACCCCCAAACTAGAAACCTGTTCAAACACGCTCCCAGAGGTTAAAGGCTAGTTATTAAGGCAGTTTAAGAAATGGACATTCCTCTCGCTCCTCGGATCCTTCCTGTTCCGCTAACCCCAGGGCAGCAGAGAGGGGGCGGAAGGGCTGGTGGAGGTGCCAGGGGGGCGGGTCCTCTCCGGGCGGGTCCGGCTTTCCCCGGATGGTTTCCAGGGGGTCGGCCTGGAGCGCCCCTCCGCCCTCACCACCTTTCTTTGGAGAAGGCCTCGGTCTGCACGAGGTCGCTGGGGTGCTCGGAGATGCACGCGCCGTTGAGGTCGCCTAGTTTATTGTCTGGCAGGTCCTCGGGCTTGGTGCAGAGCTTCAGGGCGCGGGAGATGAACACGTCCAGGTCGAACTGCGGGCTGGCGCCCCCGTCTGGGGGGCGCGCCGGCCGCCCGCTTCCAGTGCGACAGGTCCAAGATGAGCTTGGGCTCCGAGTAGTGGTGCGGCTTGCTGTCGCGCCACAGCAGCTTGTCCAGGTAGGACGGCGAGCCCACCGTGTAGTCACAGGAGCGCCCGTAGTCGGCCTCGAGGGCGCGCTCCATGGACGAGTGCGACCGCTCCAGGAAGCGCTCCGAGCTGCTCTGCGAGTCCTTGCGCGGGTCCACCTGCACGTCCTCCGCCAGCGGCGCCGACCCCGCGCGCGGGTCGCGCTGCCCCTCGCTCGCGTCCTGGCATCGGTCGGGCCGCCACTCCAGGTCGGACGACAGGCTCACGGGGTACCTGCAGGTAAGACGGGACGCCCATTGGACACACCGCCCCCGCCCACCAGCCGGGGTGGCTTTGCGGAGGGAGCCAACCCCCCTCATCCCTGTCTGCCCCCACAGGCAGGCTTTCCATTCCTTCCCAGTCCCCCCCCACCCAGTTCCTGCTGTCCCCCACCTCCAAGATGGGAGGGACAGGGACAAAGGAACAGTAATGGTGAGCCCCCAGAGCTCAGGTGGAGGGACTGATTGTATCCTCTTGTATTCATTCAAGGGGCTTCTCTCGTAGCTCAATTGGTAAAGAATCCGCCTGCAACTCTGGAGAGCCAGGTTTGATCCCTGGGTCGGGAAGATCCCCTGGTGAAGGGATAGGCTACCCACTCCAGTATTCCTGGGCTTCCCTTCTGGCTCAGCTGGTAAAGAATCTGCCTGCAATGTGGGAGACCTGGGTTCGACTCCTGGGTTGGGAAGATCCCCTGGAGAAGGGATAAGGCTATCCACACTGGCCTGGAGAATTCGATGGAATTCATTCAGTGTGTGTGCGTGCTAAGTCACTTCACTCATGTCNGGGGTGTGGGTGTGTGGGTGGGGGGGAATTGAAAATAAAGTTCCATGCCCGCCCCTCGCCTCCAATGCTGATTCAGGATGTCTAAGGAAAGGCCCTGCAGCTTTGTGTTCGTCAGACCTTTCCAGGTGTTTCTAAGTTCCAATCAGGGCTAAGAACCCTGTCTTGGTGGTTCTGGTTGGAGGCTCTGCAGCACTTTGTGAGATGTGAGCAGGTGGGGGCATACCAAAGCGTTACAGGCACCCTCAAGAGAGGCCAAGGATCCTTGGAATTCTGCTCCCTGTTGACTGTCTTGGGGCCTTGGAGAGCAGTCACCCAGTGAAGAGCAGGTGGGCAGGCCCTCAGCTTGGGCTGAGCCCTCCCTGTGTCAGGTGTTCTATGCGGAATTTAGGGGCCGGGGAGGCAGGGAGCACAGAGGAAGCCTTTTGGAACAGGAGGCCGCGTGCTCACACGGGACGAACCAAGGGCAGGCAGGTTCGGCTGTGTAACTGGGCAGGCAGGCGGCTGCGGCCCATGCCATGTGGTTTGTGAAGCACAGGAAGGTACCAGTTCTGCCCATTGATGACATGAGGGCAGGAGCCACTCCTCGAGGTGAACACTGCCTCCTCCCAGGAGGGTCCTTGAAACGGCAGAGATTTCTAGGAGGAAGAACTTGTGAAGAGCGTCACTTTTGGACGCTCTAATGGTTCTATTAGAAAGAAAGTTCTATTAGTTTGAGGTTTCAGAATCCCCCGAAACCAGGACCAGTATCTTGGTAAGGGTTAGGCCTGGACCCTGGACAGAGTATGAGTATGTGCAGATGGCATGTCTGAGGATTCAGGGCTTCAGTGAACCGTGAGTGCTCCAGCTGCGTAACTCACTGAACTGTCTTGCCAGTTTCTACACTGGCTGGACTGGGCGTAATTCAAAAAGGAAAAGCTCATATTCATTCCATTCTTCTGCAGCTCTGTGATAGCATTTAATAACACCCTAATGGGATGTCTTCCACTTTTGGCTGCTACATGCTAAGGGCCAAATGTATTGGGTTGACCAAAAAATTCATTCAGGCTTTTCCACAAGATGGCATGGAAAGCCCTAACAAACTTTTCGGCCAACCCGATAAGTTGTCTGCAGTCTCCAGAGCAACCCCGTGGAGTATTGTCACCTGCTCCATAGGTGAGGACACGAGCATTCAGAAGTCAACAACTTGCCCAGAGCAGCAGGGCCTGTGGGCGGGGCTTGTCACTGCCTTTGTCATCCGCCTTCGTCATGATGGTGTGATGGGAAAAGTCAGACCAGAGGAGCCCCGGGTTTAGAAGTGGTCAGAGTGGATGGGCAGGGGCCAAAGAAACCCTGCTACAGTTTTTCTGGCACCAGCCTCAGGCCATAGCCGTGATGAGCATAGGATGAACCTTGCCACGTCAATGCTCTGTGCCCCTAGATGCTGTGGAGTGGAGGGGGCAGGCCTAGCATGGCAGCAGCAGCAGAGAGGGTCTTCATTAATCTCTATTTGCTGGCAACTCTTGATAACGACTATCGACAACAACAAGCCTGTCCCAAAATAGCAACGTGGCCCTGACCCTCCCTCGGAGCCTCCTTAATTTGAAACCCACCATCTGTCAAATGACTGAAAAGGAGACACTGCTCATCTGTCACTTCTGTAACCAGCTGTCACCTTCTCACAGCAGCAGGGCTCCCACCTCGGCCCCCTCGGAGTCCTAGCTGCTAAGCCCTCGAGTTCTGTTTCTAAACGGAGCAGCTACCATCGCTCCCCTCCCAGAATTAGCAGGTGGTGATGCCTAAACGTTCAGCTGCCTGATCTAGAACATCAGAATGGGAAGGGCCCTGAGAGATCACTGTGTGCTTCTGTGGAGTTTGTAAAAAAACAAACAAACAAACAAAAAAACACAGCAACAACAAAAAAAACGTATCTTCTCCCCAGCCCTGATTCATTGGTAGTGACTTCTGGGCACACTGGGTTGAGAAGGATTCTAAGGCCCGGCCCAGTTTAGGAGAGAAGAGTTCTGTGAGCGTTAGCGGTGTCTGACATGAGACAAGGGACTGCCCTTCGTGGCCAAGTTGTTAGCCGTGTAACACGGCACCAATCTCTAACCTCTCTGAGCGGTGGCTTCCTCGTGTGTCAGTGGGCGATAATGGTAATGGTGCCTCCTTTACTGGCTTCTCAGGAGAAGCAAAGGATGTGAATAGCAGGAAGGTGTTGTGTGATGGTGAATTGCACCTTGTTTTCTTGCATTGCTGCACTTTGCTTTTCTAGGGCAAATTCCCAGCCTGCAAGACGTGAGCTCCGGCCGTGGGTGCGCATTAAATGCTTGCCCGACCCTGTGTTGAACCCTGGGTGTGCGGCGAGCCTGGGGTGGGGAGGGAGGGGGCGGTGACTGGGTGGTACAGAGGCAGGCCCCTGACCGCACACGCGGGACACGGCTGTTCATCTACAGCGAGTATCTAGGGGCAAGGGGAGACGGGCGGGAAGCCAAGCTGGGGAAAGCGCCCCATGGACTTTAGAACTCGGGAGACAGAAGGCGAGGTCACAGAGGGTCGGAGGCAGGTGGAAATGGGAGGATGGGGTCGTGGGCCCCTGGAGCCGCACCTGTCCCAGTTGGAGAGCTGGCTCTGGCTGGCGGCCATCAGCAGGATGTCGTCAATCTCATCCTCGATGCGGAAGGGGTGCTGCGAGGTGGGCTCATCCTCGGGGCAAGAGTAGGGGCTCATGTAGGGGTGCTGCAGCGCCATCTCGGCGGTCAGGCGATCCATGGGGTTAAAGGTCAGGATCTTCTCCAGAAAGTCGACGGCTGTGGGGAGCAGAGCAGGGCGGGATGGTCACTGTGCCCTCGCCACGCTGAGAATGAGACCCCCCAGCGAGGGGACGCCCCCGAGTGTCTGTACTTTTCCATTTGTGAAGGGGCTTCTTACCGGTTCCCTTTCTCATGACCCTCACCACAGTCTAGGGACAAATTCAGAGCAGATGCTGCTTTCTGACTCCACAAATGAATTAACGGAGGGGTTACCCTGGTAGCCCAGCTGGTGAAAAATCCACCTGCAGTGCAGGAGACCCGGGTTTGATCCCTGGGTTGGGAAGATCCCCTGGAGAAGGGATAGGCTACCCACTCCAGTATTCTGCCCTGGAGAATTCCATGGACCGTATAGTCTGTGGCGTCACAAAGAGTTGGGCATGACTGAGCGACTTTTACTTTCACTTTCAGAGGGGTTACAGTCTTCCCAGGTGGTGCTTGTGGTAAAGAATCTGCCTGCCAATGCAGGAGATGCAAAAGATGTGGGCTCGATCCCTGGGTCAGGACAATCCCCTGGAGCACAAAATGGCAACCCACTCCAGTATTCTTGCCTGGAAAATTCCATGGACAAGAGGAGCCTGGTGGGCTACAGTCCATGGGGCCGCAAAGAGTCGGACATGACTGAGCGTCCACATACATAACAATACATACAGAGGGATAGAAGTGACTTGTAAGATAAGGTCACCGTTGGTTACCATCAGGCGATCCATGGGGTTAAAGGTCAGGATCTTCTCCAGAAAGTCGACGGCTGTGGGGAGCAGAGCAGGGCGGGATGGTCACTGTGCCCTCGCCATGCTGAGAATGAGACCCCCCAGCGAGGGGACGCCCCCGAATGTCTGTACTTTTCCATTTGTGAAGGGGCTTCTTACCGGTTCCCTTTCTCATGACCCTTACCACAGTCTAGGGACAAATTCAGAGCAGATGCTGCTTTCTGACTCCACAAATGAATTAATGGAGGGGTTACCCTGGTAGCTCAGCTGGTGAAAAATCCACCTGCAGTGCAGGAGACCCGGGTTTGATCCCTGGGTTGGGAAGATCACCTGGAGAAGGGATAGGCTACCCACTCCAGTATTCTGAGCTGGAGAATTCCATGGACCGTATAGTCTGTGGCGTCACAAAGAGTTGGGCATGACTGAGCGACTTTTACTTTCACTTTCAGAGGGGTTTACAGTCTTCCCAGGTGGTGCTTGTGGTAAAGAATCTGCCTGCCAATGCAGGAGATGCAAAAGATGTGGGCTCGATCCCTGGGTCAGGACAATCTCCTGGAGCACAAAATGGCAACCCACTCCAGTATTTTTGCCTGGAAAATTCCATGGACAAGAGGAGCCTGGTGGGCTACAGTCCATGGGGTCGCAAAGAGTCGGACATGACTGAGCGTCCACATACATAACAATACATACAGAGGGATAGAAGTGACTTGTAAGATAAGGTCACCGTTGGTTACCAGAGGTCAGGGCTAGAACTTTGGTTGGATTTCTGCAGAGACAAGGAATGGGGTGGAGGCACTTTATGTGGCAGTGACCCCAGGAAGCACCCCCCCTCAGGAAGGTGGCGGGTGGGGGGAGAAGCCCGCTGAGGAGGTGCCAGTGAGCAGTCCCAGCTGAAGGCACCTGGGGCTCCGTTCCACCGGGTCCTCCGAGTGACAGCGTGGGACGCGCCTCAGAGGTGGTCCCACCTGGAGGGGGGAAGCGGGGCATCTCCACCCCCAGCATCAGGTGTCGTGGGTTGAGTGCAGCTGTGGGGGGAGCTGGTGGAGGACCGTCCTGTAGGACCCAGCAGTAGAAAGCCTGAGTGAGAGCACCGTGGAGTGGCGGGGGGACAGAGCCTGCCAGCCCGGGGCTCCTGGGTCCAGAGCTCTTCTCCCACATGTTGCCCCTGGAGGTTTGACAGATCAAGGCCGTCTTCTTCAAAACCTCCTGCAGGTCTGCTTTCTTCCCCCCACCACCACCCCCAGGTTTCAGCTGGAAGTTGGTGCCTGGGGGGGCCTTGGAAGCTCTGACTGAAGACGGCAGATGGCCTGTGTCCCAGGCAGGGGACTCGTCTGGACTCGAGCCGATCAGTGACTACATTGCTAGCGGGTGGGCCGCGGAGATTTCCCGTCTATTGGCTACAGCACCGGCTTCCCCTTAACTCATAACCGCCACCCTCGCTCCCTAGCTCGTTCTCCTGGAAGTTCACCCTCCCACACGTTTTTGGGTTTTTTGGTGTTCCTGATACAGTGTGGCTCTCATCCCCTCCCCAGATACCTAGAGCTCTCACTGGCCCCTTAGGGCGTGTTCCTTCCTCTGCTCATCTCTGACAGGTATCCGTCTTTGCAGGTAGACCATCCATCCTGTCTCTGGTTTCTCTGAGACGGGCCCACCATGTTCAGAGGGGCTGCGGCGTGTAGTGGTTTGGGAAGAGGCATGGATGACTCGTCCCTGATCCAGAATTCCTGAGAATTCTGAACCTCCTGTCACATGGCAGGATTTCTACAGAGGCCCAAGAATCAAAGAAAATGTGGATGGGCTGAGACTTAATTTGTGGGGAATCAAATTGCCTCTCTCCCTTAATGATGAGAACGCTGAGACAGTTTATTGATTGAAAGGGGATCATGGCCAAAGACACTGTTAGTCCAAGTTCTTGGTTTCTTGATGGGGAGGAGTGTGGCAGAGACGGTAGCTTGTACCCATGTCTGTTCTCCTCTTTCATAGTCATGGACATGGACACACAGTGGCTTTGGGATCAGTTTCTATCTCACAGCCTCACTGCAGCGAGGTGGGGCCAGGTGACTTAAGTTCTGACCAGCAGGACATGAATGGAGGTGAAGTGTCCAAATCCTGGCTCATGACATTAGAGGCAAGGGGCTGCCCTCCTCCCCCACCTTCCTCCAAGGGGTAAGGGCAGCCCCCTAAGGTGGTAGAGATATAAGACAGAAGGGGCCCTGGATCCCCGGATGACTATTGACCAGGTCTACCTCAGTGCCCCTGGACTGTCTACTTTAGATTCTTATGTGAGAGAAATAAACTCCTTTTTTTTTTTTTCTTAAATAAGAAATAAATGTCATTTAAGTTGTTGAGAATCTGGGTTTCTCTTACAATTGGCCAAACCTGTATCCTATCTGATATAGGAATTTCCTCAAGTAGAGGATGAGATGGTCAGATAGCATCACTGACTCACTGGACATGAATCTGAGTAAACTCTGGGGGCCAGTGGAGGACAGAGGAGCCTGATACTGCAGTCCATGGGGTCGCAAAGAGTCAGACATGACTTAGTGACTGAACAACAACAAGGAAGCCTCTAGCAGATATGAGACTGGTGATGTTCTAACATCTCAGATAATGGAGAAACTATCCTACTCCAAGGACTGTACAAATTCTGTTTTACTTACTCATCACAATGAGCCTATGTGTCATGTGTTACTATACCCATTTTACAGTTAGGGAAACTGAGATGCAGAGCTAAAGAGCTAGTCACTGGTGGAACTGGGAGCTGAGCCTGGGTCAGGCTTTGAAGCTGATGAAACCGTACCATGCCTTCCAGAGGGAAAAAAGTAAAGGGAGGTGGGGGAGAGGGAGGGAGGCAAGTGAGAAGGAAGGAAAAGGAAGCAAAATCAGGGTTGAGTATGGAGGACCAGCAGGACTGCCTTGAGGGTGGCCTGATGGCCGAACTCGGTCTGGAAGCAGCGAGGACCTTTGCCCGCTGCCAGGGGGTCCCCCGCTTCTGTGTCTAGGGACTCTGGTCCTCTTGGAGGAGACTGCCTGCTCTCGGGCCCCAGGGTGAAGCCACGGCGCAGAGCGCCCCCTCCGGACGCGGCCGGGCAGTCAGGCGGCGGTACCTTCACTGTTCACTTCCGGGAGCAGCTTGCGCAGCGGCCGCTTCACCTCCCAGGTGCTGCTGACGAAGGAAGGCATCACCTTGAGCAGCTCGTCCTTGTCCTCCTCCCGGATCACGGGGACGGTCTCCAGGATGAGCTGCATCTGCTCCAGCTCGTGAGCCCCTGGGGAGGCAAACGCCAGATGGTTACGCCTGCCGCCCACCCGGCTGGTGGGTGTGGAAACCCCAGCCTAGGAGCCTAGGACAGTGGGAGCCCGGGGACCTGGGTTCACTCTGCTGCTAACTGCTGGGTGACGGTGGGCAGGTTGCTTGCCATCTCTGGGGCTTGGTCAAATGCAGAAAGAAGGGGTAGTCTCTGGAGCCCCATCCTTTCTCTTAGCGTTCTGTGCCTCTGGAATGGTCCAGCCTCATACAGCCTGAGTCAGCCCGCGCTAAAATGATGGGAGCAGCCCGACCCGGGGCTTTCCAAGCGTTCTTCCTATGCACCTCTGTGCATGCCCTTTACCAGGCTGGGGGGAGGAAGCGATTTTAAGCCTAGAAATGAGTCTTACCTTTTGGATTCCCATTAGGAGGGGAAAAAAACCCAGGAATAGTAAATTAAGTTTGGGACATGTCATGAGCGCTCCTCCCTCCAGGGGGGGGAAGACCGGGTGTCCCAGGTCTGTGGGAAAGGACGGAATGGCTCATTCAAGCACTCATTCACTCACTCATTCGTTCATTCAACAAATATTTATGGGGTGTCATCTCCCTGCCAAGGATCATGCTAGATGCTGGGAATGAATAGCATCTTCATCCATAAGAAGTTTCAGGCTTTCTGCTTCTCGGAAACTCAAGTCCTCTTTCACACCCAAGCCATCGCTGACGCTGTTTCAGAGCTTTGATGCTGCTGGGATGGGTCAGGTCTGAATCTTTGCCGCCCTCTCTGGCCTCTGGGCCATTCCATTCCTTTTGTTTTCCCTTTTTGCATGAGTAGCCTTGCCATTCACCTCTACTGGGTTAAATCCAACCAAGCCTGGTCTTTCTTCCTGACTCATCCAGCTGCACAGAGCGACCCCCCCACCCCAACCACTGATTTCTGTGGGGTCCCAGTCTTCCAGAAGCTGGAGGCCAAGGGCAGGGCTCTCCCATGTCTCCCCGACGATGCCGTGTGTGGCACTAGGCACGTGTGAATGCTGACCCAGAAAGTGCCAAAGCGTCAGCGTCTGCTCAGAAGGAGTCACTTGGCTTCTCCTTACAGTGGACTCAGGTAGGGTCAGTTCAGGGACTCTGGGAGCCTGGCGGGGTCCCCTCTCTAAATGAGCACTCCGGATCGACCTCTCACAGTGGCAGGGAGAAGGGAGAAAGGAGCTGAAAAAGTAGGATGGGTATTTTCATGGGTCAGTCTCAAGGTGTGTGAAGAGACATGATTTCTTGATTTTGGAAGTTTAGTGCTCAAGAAGTTGTGTTTTTTTTTTTTTTAGCCTCTCTAGTATTTTGCCTGAAATAGTTGATAACAAGTTGCCTCCACGTAGTGCCGTCAAAGTCAGAGGCAACCTCAAAGAGGAGGATAGCAGGTTTTGTGACTAGCATGTTTCCCCCCCAGCCCTCCTTTATTGAGCTGCAGCTGAGGGGTAGGAGGGTGGCCCAGGTAGCAGCTTACCAGCAAAGAGCATCCTGCCCGTGAGCATCTCAGCCAGGATGCAGCCGGCGGCCCACATGTCGATGGCTTTGGTGTAGTTGTTAGGGGAGAGGAGTAGGCGCGGTGAGCGGTACCACTTCGTTACCAGCCCTTCTGACAGGTAACCCTGGAAGACAAAACCCCGGCTTCCAATGGTCAGTCATTTGTAGACACCCTTCCTCCCAGAGGGCTTCCCTGGTGGCCCAGCTGGTAAGGAATCCGCCTGCAGTGCGGGAGCCCTGGGTTCCATCCCTGGGTGGGCAGATCCCCTGGAGAAGGGAGAGGCCACCCACTCCAGTATTCTGGCCTGGAGAAGTCCATGAACTGTATAGCCCATGGGGTCGCAGAGTCGGACATAACTGAGCGACTTTCACTCCCTCCCACACCTGTCTTCCTGTCCCTTCTCAGGGAGAAAGGACCCCTTTCGCTCTCCATTCCTGTTGATCATCTGTTTAGAGAGGTTCAGGCAGGTTTGAGGGGCTCAAAGACTTTGGAGGGGAATCTTATGAGGCCCTGGAGTTCTGTTCTGTGGAATGGGACAGGATGCCACTATTTAAGGAGTAACGCTTTCCCTGCCCATCTTGATTGTAACAACACGTAACACTCTACCCTCATCTAGTAAGAAGACGGATAAGCAGGAGCCGTACTTGAGTTCATTATCACCATCAACGGAGTAATGATGAGAAACTGGAATTTCATTTATTCAGTGGGCTGAATCTCAGAAATAGCTGGAAAATGGAAATCAAGCCAGTTGCTTTGGTGCTGATAATTAATTCTGCTACAATGCCAGACACCAATCTCCTGCAGGGAATGGACGAAGCCAGATTCATCATGGGTGTGGGTGAAGGGCTTGGGGGAGCAGCCCTAAAAAGGCAGTCTTGGACACAGCTTTGGTTGGCCCAGACGGTTCTGGGAGTTCTACAGAGTGTGGGGTGGATGTTCTAGCTGATTTCAGCCATTGCTCAGTGTGTGGCCTGGGGGGGAAGCCCTTCCTGTGGGAAATAATGACATCATAGGTGCTTTAGGGAAATATAGCCAGGCCATGTGGAAATTGTTCTCTGTGTAATTCAGAAAGCATGTGCAACAGTGAAATCTGCAAAATGTCTATTTGCATTACCTGGAACAGTCTCTCTAAAGTGAAAAAACAGACCTATTTGGTGGTCAAGGTCAGACAGTTAGCACCAAGGGTATCCAGTCAGGGAGTCTAGGGAACACTTTGTTATTTGCTGTTGTAATTTCCAGTTTGGCATCTAATTTTCCTTTTTTGCTGAAGTAGAAAGTATCACAGACCCAGGTTAAAACAGAGGTAAAAGTTAGGAAGCTCAAGTACCCAGGAGCTTTTAATCAATTAATCTGAAATCTCTTCACTTGTTGAGCAGATTTATTGTGTTTAAAACCCGAGGGCCCTCAGTTACGGCAGTTTTTTCTCCTCTGTGACACATGGTTCTTCACAGCGGGACCTCAAACTGGTGGAAGAAAGGAAGAAAAGGCTAGAGCACCCCCATTCCCCAGCCTCGAGGCTCCCAAGTGAGTTCTTTGTAATTTTTAAAACGTGCCCCCTTAAAAAAAATAAATAAAAAAAAAAATAAAGAATACGTGCCCCCTTTCTCTGTCCTTTAGGCCTTTGCATGTGTTACCTTCCAGGGATGGGTGTCTTCACACCCACTGTCCTTCCCGGCTAACTCACTCAGGCCTGCTTCCTCTCCAGAAGCTTCCCAGCTCCCTGGGATGAAGTTGAACGCCCCCTCCCAGGAGCTCCACCATCCCTGTTTTGTCACTGTTTCTTTACTTCTCTGGGGCTTCCCTGGTGGCTCAGCGGTAAAAGACTCTGCCTGTAATTCAGGGGATGTGGGTTTGTTTTCTGGGTAGGGAAGACCTCTTGGAGAAGGAAGTGGCAATCCACTCCAGTATTCTTGCCTAGAAAATCCCATGGACAGAGGAGCCTGGTGGGCTGCAGCCCCTGGGGTGGCAACGAGTGGGACACGACTGAGCACTTTACTACTCTGTAGTTGCCGTCTCACCTGCCTCACCCAGCCAACCCCCGGGACCACTGGACAACTCCCCCTCATGGGCAGAGGCTGTATCTTGTTTCACAGCCGTTTCTGCCTTGCTCGATTCTGTCCCAGGTCTGCCTCCTAGGAAATGTCCAATGAACACTGTCGAGTGGATGGACGGATGAATGAGTAAGGAAAGTCTCGCATGGTCTGAGTCCTTTCAAAATGGGGCACCTTCTGCAGGAACCACTGATCCCTTTCTTGAACAGACCTGATTTTACAGGGAGATCCAATTCCCACTTTCAGCAGTGGGTGAGAAGTTTACAAAAGTTGATGGCTTTTGCCTTATGCTTCGCCTTGTTCCAGAAAGGATTGGCAAGTGTAATTTTTTTTAAAGCCAGGTTTATTGATGTATAATTTATAAACAGTAAAATTCACTTTTTAGTGTATAGTTCCATGAGTTTGATTGTAAACACCGTCACAATCAAGATGTATAACAATTCTATTATCTCACACAATTCTCTCCTGCCCGCTTCGGGTCACCCCCTAGCCCCAGTTCCTTAGAAGCCACTCTTTTCCATTCCTTTAGTTTTGCCTTGTACAAAATGCATATAAATGGAATCACGGTGTGTGGCCTTTTGAGTTGAAATTCCTTTGCTTAGCCTAATGCATCTGGACTCATCCCTGTGGTTGCAGTGGTTGGAGAGTAGTTTGTGAGGAGTTTAAGTCTGAGTCTCAAAATGAGAGACAAGCCCAACTGTAGGTGTGCACTTCTGGGCAGGTGGGTTATAAATAAAGAATGGTCCAATGTTATTCTCCAGCCAGAGGGTACGAGTGTCAGAGGAAGGCTAAAGCAGAGTGCTCATTGAGGAGGATACTGAGGGGAGTTTACTCTGATGAGCAGGCTGATACAGAATTCCCTATAATTAACACCTGTCTATCTGCAGAATCTGGGACTGAAGTGGATGCAGGGGGCTTCCTTCTGAAGCACCTGCCCTGAACCCCTGAATGTAAAAGATGTTTGCAGAGGCAAGGCTGCCCCTGATGTGTTTCAGGAGCCATAGGACGGAGGTGAAGAATCTGCCTGCAATGAAGGAGATGTGGGTTTGATCCCTGGGTCAGGAAGATGCCCTGGAGAAGGGAATGGCTACCCACTCCAGTATTTCTGCCTAGGAAGTCCCGTGGAGAGAGGAGCCTGGCGGGCTACAGTCCACGGGGTGGCAAAGTGTTGGACACGACTAAGCGACTCACTCACTCTCTTTCCGTGACTTCTGCCAGGCTCTGGAGCAAAAGGAGCCTTGGGGAAGGAGGGACGGGGCCAGGGGTACAGCCGCTTCTGGGTCGGGGCAGACATGGGGGTGGGACTGGGGGGGTGTGGGACGGGGATTTCTGTAGAAGGTCCCGGGGAGGCCTGTGCCTCTAGTAGCGCTCCTGCAGACTCCACTAGAGGGAGGGCATTCGTGGAGCCCTGGTGGCGGCTGTAGGAAGCCTGGAGAGGCTTGCAACTCGGGTGCTCTCTGGGTAGCCAGGGGTTAACAGGTTCAGGAAGGCCCCTGTGAAGGGGGTAGGAATGCACACGTGGATCCTGTCTGATCTCGAAGAAACTGGGTCAAGGGAAAGAGGAGTCAGGCTACGGAGAAGTAAGAACTTTGGAGCTTGAGGGGGTCAACAGGGCTGTGGCACGGATGCTGAGATTTTGTGGAGGCGCAAGTTCTCAGAAGAGCTCCTGGCGGATGTGCTGTGGAAATCAAAGGCACGTCACCCAAGGAATGGGAAAGACGGGGTGCTTAGAGCCTGGGGAACATTGCAGAGGGCATGAGAGCTGCCTCTGGACATACATAGGGCTGTCATACAGATGGGGAGTTAAGCTTGTTCTCTGAGGCTCTAGGGACAGGCGTGAGCCATGGCATGAGGCAGAAATCCAGGCAGTATAATAATAGCTCACGCTTACTGAGATACTTGAACTGCTCTCATGCTTCCTAGGGATTAACTCTTTTAATCCCTGCGACAACCCCATGAGTTAGGGACTCTCATGACAGTCACTTGAGAGGGAGGAATCGGAGGCACAGAGAGGGTAAGCAACCTATCCATGGCCACCCAGGCTGCAAGCAGCACAGCTGGGATGCAACGCCAGTGTGGGACGATGTAGTCCCTGTGATCTGAGTAGATGGCTGAACTGCCTTTCGAAGAAAGAGAGCCCTCGAATCCACCAGCTGTCCCAGGGTGGGGCTGGGCTCCTAGGCAGACAGGGATGGACAAGCTGATGGGAGATGAGCCAGCAGCACCCTCCAGGCCGCAGATCCTCAGACTGGCTCACACTTGAATTCTTGGGGACCTGGGCTAAACACGTGCAGATTCCATTTCATCAGGCCAACAAGGTGGTGCTGATGCTGCAGGTTGGGGGACTGCATTTGGACCAGCAAAACCCTGGATGATCTTTAATATCCTGCCCTGCCCAAGGGATTGATGCCTTGCTCACAGGCCAGGCAGATTTCTTTAACTGAGCAGCAGACTGACCTGTAATAGGGGTTAATTCTTTGTGTTACAAGCACTCATCAAAAGATCATTTAGAAAAACACCACCTTCTCAGAGGCCCAGTTTAAACAGAAATACATGGCTTCCCTCTCCACAGCCTCCTTCCTCCGAAGGTATAATTCTTATTTGTGCCAATATCCATATCAGGCATGTTAGAAGCCTTTTAAAACAGAAAGAACACCACAGAGGAATCGCCTTTCTTCTTGCTGACTCCAAACTCATTCTGTTAAACTCATTTCCATGAAAATATGCAGCAGGGACTCTCTCAAGCTGAGGGAAGGAACGCACAGTCTTACAAGCCCAGTGTACAACACAATCATTGGTAAGTCACCGGGTACGTTCTGTTTACAGCTTCCCTGGTGGCCCAGTGGTAAAGAATCTGCCTGCTAATGCAGGACATGTGGGTTCCATCTCTGGATCTGGAAGATCCCCTGGAGAAGGAAGTGGCAGCCCACTCCAGTGTTCTTGCCTGGAAAATTCCATGGACAGAGAAGCCTGGTGAGCTGCAAAGAGTTGGATACCACTGAGCAACTGAGCATGCATGCACATTCTGTTTATGCAGCTAAAATACACATGGTGAACAGTGTAGTTAAATCAG